CAGGAATGTGGGCAGCAGCATTATACACTTGAAGCTGGAGCCCCCTGGCTGGGGACCAAGAGGCCAAGAAACTCCATCCTCAGAGCAGCTCTGACAGGCCCGATGCAAAAGACCCATTTCTGCCGTGTTAGGGACATGACCGCGGATGGCCTAGATTAGCTCTCAGTTCACAAAAAGCCTGGAGTCCATAGTCATCAGATAAAGTATAAAATATCACTCAAAACTGGTCTCTTGATTCTTCCAACCTCCATCCTGAGGGGAAGAACCAAGAGACTAACATGTATGTTGCTCTGTACGAGAGCAGATGCACGTATATATATGCACACACACTTGGGAGGCAAAGCATCTAACTCAGGAGTAAAACTTGAGCTTAGAGACGTTACCTGTCTCCTTTCCCTTCTTGAATAATTCCATTCAAATGGCTACTGAGCAGACAAAGGCTCTGGCAGGAATAGCTTTGCCTGCCTGGCGTACCTGCAACTACAGAAGCAGCTCAGTCTCTTCCACAACAGACAGACCCAGTGGGCTCTTGGAATGCCTCCATCTGAAGAAAAAGGCAGCCACATACCTAGGACTGCAAAGGCGAGGCAGGCACACCTCGTACACAAACGTGCGCATATGCATGTGGACACGTGCTGCCGGCAAAGGCATCAATATGCACAGCGATACAGAAACAAAATCACAATGAATATGAACCCTGCACGTTTCCAAAGAGAAGTGCAGGGTTCAAACAAACATTCACGAGAGCGACCCTCTGGCAGAGGTGAAGAGACCAGTAGGCGGGGAGAGGCGGGGGTCCAGACTGTCCATAGGGCGTCGTAAGAGTTCCTCCACGTGCCGGGCCACATCCATGGTCTCATCCAGGTCGAATTCTCCATCCTGGTCGAGGACGGGGTCAGGGCTGGTAGAGAGAGAGGGACGTCAGAGGGAGCTGGCATGCCTCACAGCCCCAAGCTCCTGGGGGACAGCGTCCAGCCTGCTCCCCACTCAGACCAGAGTCTCATGGGAGCAGGACCCGCTCTGGCTAGACTCTCACACCCAGTCACTGGCTTGTTGGGAGACACCCCAGTTCTAGTCTCATCGCTCACAACCTCATGGAGCGATCTCGGGGTAATGAGATAGTTGGGTGAATGAGCTGCCCAGGAAACCCCAGGCACCATTCACTGAGCACCTATGAAAGCCTGGGCCTTTCAACCATGTTACACCAACCCTCACAGCCACCCATAAGGCAGGTGTTTACTCCACTTTATAGAGGAAGAAACTGAGACTCAATCATGTTAGGACACTTGTTCAGGGCCACCTGGTTGGCAGGTGGAGTCAGGATTGGAATTCTGGTCTTTGTGACTCCCAAGCCTGCGGTCATCCCAGGGCAGCAGGCCACCCACAGCTTGGAAGAGAATTAATTCTCTTCTCTGGGAACTCCAGAGAGGAGCAATTGACACCCTGTTCCCACACAACTCCTAAGAACAACTGCCCCATCCATAGCTACCCTGTATCAAGCCCTTATAACAGCCTCATCTGTGCTAAATGCTCTACCTGCACTCTCTCACTTAATCCTGACCCCAGTCCCACGTGGTAGGTCTTTTTGCCTCCATTTTACAGATGAGGAGACTGAGCATCAGAGAGGCTCAGTAATTTCCCCAAGGTCACACAGCTAGTCAGCACCAGAGCAAGGACCCTGCTACGTGTAGTTTCAAAATGCTCTATGCTTTTCATTGGCTGATCTCACCCACCCTGCACCTGGGCATGTGCCAGAGCCCGGCCTGGCCTGGGTGATCTCAGACCTAGAAGAGCTCTGGATTCCTTGCCCACCAGCCCTCTGGTGCCCAGCCTGAGGCCAAGTGCCCAGTTCCTCCCCACAGAGCCCAAGGAGAACACAACCTACTTCTGTGGGTACATGTTATAATGAGCCTGGGGGCACACGGCTGGGGAGGGGGCCTGGTCCATGTAGGTGGCGCTGCTCCCGGCAGAGTCCGCAGAGGCGCTCACAAACCTGCGAGAGGAAGCAGAGCACAGCCTCAGCGGGGAGGGGCTCGGGGGCCACCTTCGTGTCTTTTTCAGGTGCGGAAGGACAGAGTGCCCGCTGAGCCTGGGGCCTTGGCTGCAGGAGCGGGGCCCTGGGTACTGACGCCCTGGTGACCAAGCCCAGCTCCCTCCCCAGGATGCGTGGCGGTTAGGGGTGAGGAGAGCCAGGTGCGGGGGGGTGACAGGAGAAGAGAGGCAGCAGGAGACCAGAGCTGGACCCGGGACACTTACTCAGGGACCACTTGCTTGATCTGTGGCTTCACGTATCCGTCCACTGCTTTAGCTGCCGAGGGTGGGGGGGAACAGTGATGAGAACTGAAGTCTCTGGGAGCTCCCAGGGGAGTAGAAACCCACCTATGCAGTCTGCCTCCCCCAACATTGCCATGCGGCCTCAGCAGGGACGAAATTTCCCACAGATTCCCAATAAACACCCGCTGACAATAAACATCACCCAGGCCCTGGCTTCAGTCTCATTTTGCTTCCTACACTCAACTTGAGGGTAGGTTTGAGGGTGGAGAGTGGTGAGGGCAGCTGATCAAGATGGGAGTCGTGCACTATCTGTGGGTTTGCATTATGGCTCCTCCCCCAGCACTGCAGCCTCTTCCTCCAAGGGCACAGAAGCGAGTCCCACTCAGTGTTTTGCTTTGCAGGGAAGAAAGCTGGGTCAGAGGTTTTGCTTTCCCTTTCTTTGGTTGTGAGCCCTGAAATCCTCTCCACGTGCCTTGCACCATCCCACCGACAAACACCCACAGGGGAAACGGCCCCTCGGCTCTTCTTGGGGCGTCCCCACTGCCTAGCCCCGGGAGTGTCTGGGCAGGACGCACCGAGCACAGGAGTATAGTACTTGGAGAAGACCTCATCCTTGGGCCGGTCAGGAAACACGTAGATGAGATAGCTCAGGTCCCCCAGCCGGTCGGCCAGGGACCGGATGGAGAAATCCCGCGTGGTGAACGGCTTCAGATTCCACAGGTTACGGTCAGCTGTGAAAAGGCCAAGCTCATTCCCACAACCCACCACCCTCGGGAGGAGGATCAGAGCTGTGGGGCTTCAGGGCAGGCTTGCAGAGACATCAGGGCTTTTACTAGACTGCACGGCAACCCCACCCCTGTGCTCCTCGGCATAGGGCAAGGAAATGACCACAGGCAAGCAGATACCAACAAGGCTGGGTCAGGGCAGAGAAGGACTCGCCCGGCAGTTCTGGAGTCCAGGAGGCCAATGATTTTAGGTTCTCCCCAGTGGAAAACAACAGAGAGGGCATGTGCTTCTGAGCAACACTCCTCCCACCCTCCAAGCTCAGTTCCCATCTCTCCCACCGGATACCTTCTAAGGATGCAGGCCTGATGGAGAATAGGCAACAAGGAAATGGAAGACAGGGCCACTGGGGCTAGAGTGTGGGCTCGTAGGGAACTCACGAGAGTCAAACTTCCAGGCAATGGTGATGCCCCCTATTTCTGAGTCGCTAAAGCGCAACAAGAAGGTGCCGTCGGGCTTGTTGATGAGCAGGTCATGGGCCTGTTGCTTATTCACAAAACCTAGGATGGCCCTGGGTGCATCAAGCATACAGTGTCACTGCTGGCAGCAGCCACTGTCCCCTGAGCCCCACGACCTCCCAGACCCCATTCCTCTCACCCGTCATTCCAATGGGGCTTGTGATGTTTCTTCAGCACCTCCATGACCCCATCGAACCACTGCCAGAAGGTGTAGTTCCAGCCTGGCAAGTTCTCCTGAGAGCCCCCAGGAAACCCCAAGTCAGGGCTTGTGCCCCCTTCGTCACGGGTGGTTCAGGGAACACTCAGTGCCCTCTTGTTCTCACCCAGACCTTCTCCCAGTTCCTCATCCGACTTGCCCCACACTCCAGCAAACTGCCACAGCCCCTGCTCATATCCTAGGGAACCAGAGAGTACACTGGCCTCTTGCCTCGCAGACACAGGGGTCCGGGACAACCCCACGGGGCGGGGGGCGGAGGTGCAAAGAATTGTCCAAGCTGGATGAGACCTCCAAAGTTATTCCTGCCCAACCCCTTCGCTTTACAGATGGGAAAAGCACAGCACAGAGGAGGGAAGGGGCCTGGCAAATCAGTTAACACATCGAGGGCTAGAGCCCAGGGACCCTGACTCCCAGCTCCGGGTTCCTTCCATCGTCCTGCTTCGGCTCTTATGGCTGCCTGCGTTCCTTGGGGTACCAGCCCCTGTCTCTCCTGGTTGTAGGAGAGGGGGGATGGGGGTAGAGGGGGGCCACTGACCGGGGTCAGTAACCTGTGTGTGAGGTGGGGGAAGGGTGGCAGGGTGGTCCCAGGCAGGCAGCGGGCGGCGTCCCTCACCCTGTTGAACTGGGACCAGGACACGGACATGCCATTGTAGTCCTCGAGGTGGCTGCTACTGCTGTTGAACAGCTTCTGTGCCAGGAACACGAGGTTCTCCTTGGTCAGGCCCCGGTTGCTCTGCACTTCGGCCTTGAATTTCATGTTGAGCGCCTCGCACAGCTGTGGCCACAGGACTTTGTCAGGCACTGCAAATGGCACCCTGCCCTGAAGGGGAGAGAAAAAAGGAAAAAAAGGCAGATTGAGGGAGTAGGAGATATTTACACACACACACACACACACACACACACACACACACACACACACACACAGATACCAAGAGATAGAGGGGACTGAGAAAGGTCCAGAAAAGGGGACAAAAATGCAAGGGAAAGAAAGGCTGGGGGCAGGGGCAGAGGGGTGGGCATACAGGGATGGAGACCCAGACCAGGACCCTGGGGAGAGAGATCAGGGACCAGAGCCCCAAGACCACGCTCACAGACCTAGGAGACCCCAGTCCTGTGATCCAGAGCCCAGACAGAGCCTAGGACATGCCGAGGGCAGGCTGTTCACACCAGCTGCCCCCTGACCTCTGGTCTGGCCCTAGGGTTGGGGAAGACCACCCAGCAGGGGCCCTGCGGTTGGGGCTGACCCTGGGGAACTCCGAGGGGCCGAGGTGAGGGTCTCATGGGGACTCACCGGCTCAGCAAAGGCATTGTCCCATAGCACGGTGGCAGTAGCATTGTGGTCCTGGCTGCCATGAACAATGACAACCACAGGAAGGGACAGGGTCTACGGGAATCCAGGGAATGAGGGGTGAGGGCATATGACCACTGTCTTGCCCGCCTCTTGGGGGAAAACCCCAACCCTCATTCCTCAAGCCCCTCCCAGCAAAACTAAACCAAAAACAAACAAAAAACACAACATATTTCTTCTTGGCCCATTGCCTAAATTCTGCGGGCTGGTGCGGGATTATAACCTCGCAAATGGGCACCAGCAAGAGTGAAATTAGGTTTTCTGAGAGCATCACGGGGTAACTGGACTGAGCCTGTGTGAGGATTCAAGTCTCTGGCTTTCCCAAGCCAGCCGGGCGGCCTGCAAGGGGACGGGGGAGCCGGGTCTCACCTTCACCTGAAACACAAGCTCATTGCTGCCAACACTGAACTGAGACTCAAACAGGACCGTGAACTTCTCCTCCGTCACGGACTCTGCGCCTCGCCGGTCAGCGCGCTTGATCCTCTTTAGCGACTGCAGGAGGTCAGAGGGGAATGAGGAGAAAGCCGCTGGTTAGAGGACTCGGCTCTGGGCAGGCCTCCCTCCATGGGCGGGGTCCAGTCCTCACCATGTTCCTGAAGTGAGCGCTGAGGGTGCCTGTGGCCTGGTGATACTCCATCACACAACAGTTGTTCAAGATCTCTCCGCTGCACTCACTGCAAAGCAGAGAGGAATCCATCTCCACTGGGCCCAGGCCAGGAGCACCATCCTGTCTGCACCTTGGGCCCAGACTTCTCCAGAAAGCCCTGCCAGCAGCCCCTGCCCCTCCCCTAAGAGCACTTCTCCGAGTGTCCCTGGGCTCACTTTCTCATCAACCTGAGAGCACCTGAGCAAAGTCTCCAAGGGTGGGGCCTGTGTCTCTATCATTAAAATTCCTTGGGTATCAAGATTGATGTGGGGACTACTGAGCCCCCGAGCCACAGCTACTGAGCCCGCGTGCCACAACTACTGAAGCAACGTGCCTAGAGTCCGTGCTCGCCGCGACTAGAGAAAGCCTGCGGGCAGCGACGCAGCCAATAAATAAATAAATGAATGAATAAACAAATAAATAAATTTAAGATTGATGTGGGGGCCTTCGGCAGTTTCTAGCACACTTGAGATAAAAATCATGACCACAGCCTACAAAGATTCCCGAGATCAACCCCTGCCCACCTCCCTGGCCTCACTCAGGACAAGCGAGCCCACTGCCTTGTCTGTTTGCGGAACACATAGGCTCAGTGCCTGCCTCGTGACTTCTGTACTTGCCCTTCCTATCTCCCCAAACACACTTTTTTTTTGGGGGGGG